TATATTTATGGATCAAATATCCAGCATCCAGAAATTCAGAATTAGTAGCAAAGTTACTAGTTTTGAATTTGTTTGGCTGTAGTTTGCTGCATGGCTGTTTTGTTTTGCTTTCTGTAGTATATGCACTGCATGATGCCAGTTCCAGTGTGATTGCTGGCATACAGTGTATTAAAAAGAGTTTTGTTCTTTACTTTCTATAGTTTATTTTATATTTTAAGTATATATTTAGTTTGTGTTCAGAAAATCCAGAAATATGGACCTATTTTGGTTCCAAACTTGTCAGATACAGTACTGTACTGTACCCATACATTTATACATACTGTACCCAAATATAAAGTGATCATGAAGATATTTTTTAATATAATATACTACAGTATATTTTTTTAATATAGTATATTATAATGTTTTTTTCTGTGGAGAGAGAATTAACTTTTTTTCAAATCTGAGATTAATTTTACATTATAAATAAAAGTAAATTTCAGTTTGCATCTGGATGGAGTTTTTTGCAAATAGATTGGAGAGCATAGGTAAAATTACTCTATACTTCTTCCTGTTTGACTGGTCATAGTATTTAGTAGCAGAATACACTACTATCTATTGAAATTGCTGAGAGTAATTGCACTTTGAATAAATACTCTTTCTGCTCTGGCTGAAAAGCAATAGTAGTAGCAACTTTGTAAATATGACATCATCCAGTGGCAAATGTTTGTGGGGAGAATATAAAAACTTTTGTGATTCTATTACTAAATTTTCTTGATTTTGCTGAAGCATTATCTTTGGATGATGATGATAAATAATTGATTTATTAAAATATCAGTTGCAACAGCATAAAAGATGTCTGAACTGAGTAGATGAATATATGGATGATAAAATGCTCAACTGTATAATCTTACTAACATCAAGTGAAAACATATATATGAATTGTAATGAAACTTATCATGTGACTTGCATTAACTTGTTTGGGTCACTCAACTACTTGTTTGGCAACAGTAAGAGTACAGTCGACCCCCCCTATAACACAGTTGATTATTCCATTTTATATGAATTCCATGTTGTACGAGTCACTTAGATTTTACAAATACGTGAGCCGTTCACAGCCCGGCACACATATTTGTAAAATCTAAGTGACTCGTACAACATGGAATTCATATAAAACGGAAT